AACCAAGATGGTCTCTTCTCGTGGATTGGACCCTTTAGAAATTCCTCGATGCATCTTCTGCCAAGGCAGAGCCCAGAGTTTGATCCAGGCCCCCGTTAGTGATTCAAGCAAAACCACTGACAATGGCCATCCCGCACAAGACCAGGAGCAACCCGAACTCAATAATGCCTCTGAGGACACCGCAATGACCGACAGGGATGCTGGGCAGGAAGATTTGCCGGCTTTTGAGCTTTACACAGCATTGCTGGGTGAAATCCCAGGGCTGTGGGATCTCATCCCAAAGCACCTGGATGAATGGATCAAAGACATATACCAAAGTTCTGGTCGCTGGATGATTTTTATCGAAAGGCTAGAGCGTATTCAAAAACCAACCACCGAAGACAAGCTCTGTCGAGCGCTTGCGCTACGTGGTCTAGCGCTTCAATTCTCAATTTTCGAGAGTCACTGCATTCCAAGAAGGAACAAGAAAAGAGATGGAAAAATCCCTAAATTTGTGAGGGATCACCTTTGTGCCCCTGAAAAGGAAATTAAAAGGATATCTCATTATATTCAAGCCGGTCAAAAACATCTCAAGATTGAAGAGGCTTTCCGGCACGAACTGAAACAAAGACAGAGTATCTACGCCGGGGAAGCCTATTCTGGAAGAGGTATATCTGCTCTAACCGCCTTGGCCATTACACCGTTCAGAAACTTGCAGTTGGGTGAAATCCCGAGATTCGTGGAGAAATTCTTCGCCAATGGCGCGAAAATAAAACTGCGCCTCCCTTTCCCGTTGATAGGGCCATCAAAGTCCATCGAAAAGGAATTCTGCCTCTTGGAGGTTGTGGAACGGGCATCCAGATGGTTCACCGAATTACAATCTTGTTTTCTCAACGTGACGATTCCTGGAGATCGTTGTAAAAGAAGACGACTCTCGTCTTACAGAGCTGATACACCTTACACTATGTCAGCGATGTGTGGCTCAGTCTCTACGAGTGAAGTATTAGGAAGCTTGTCTGGACCTCAGAATGTTCAGCCTGGGGAAGTACTTCATATCAGTGACCCAAATCTCAATGATATCGAGATGTCACATTTCCAACCACCGGCAATCGATGCGCCATTTCAATTTGGCAGTTCCGACCATTCAACGTCATACTTTGCAAGAGACGAGTTATTTGGCCTTGCTTCAAATAGCATCGTGAGCCAGACCGGCGAAACCAATGAGGCCAATGCGACTATGGAAGAGACAACAGGCTTTGACCCGTTATCAAGTGTTGCGCTGTTCACATTCCCTCTTGACAGCACTCTGGACCAAACTGGCGAGATGAATGGGGCGAATGCGGCTATGCAAGAGACAACAGGTCTTGACCCATTATCAAGTGATGCGCTTTTTATCTCTCAGATCGACAACATTCTGGACCAGACCGGCGAAATAGATGAGACCAATGCGACTATGGAAGAGACAACAGGCTTTGACCCGTTATCAAGTGTTGCGCTGTTCACATTCCCTCTTGACAGCACTCTGGACCAAACTGGCGAGATGAATGGGACGAATGCGGCTATGCAAGAGAAAACAGGCCTTGACCCATTATCAAGTGATGCGATTTTTATCTCTCAGATCGACAGCACTCTGGACCAGACCGGCGAAATAAATGAGACCAATGTGGCTACGCAGGAGACAAAACCATTAATAAGTGACAACAGAACCGGTCAGTCTGTCCAGGCCGAGCAGGAGACGGCGAAGAATATTTTGTCTGCTCTATTCCCCGATTTTCAAAACGACAGTATCTCAAGTGAGGCCGGACAAATGCCTTTGACCCCTCACACCACATCTTCCGATAGTGTCATCGTACAGGCTGGCCACAATGTTATAACCGTATAATTATTGGGATATTTTAGTCCGTGGATCCTTACGGAATATATGTTCAATGTCAAATATTATAGAGTGATGCGAGCTAATCATGACATAAAAGTTTTGCGATTCATATACAAAAGCGAGGCAGATACAGAAATGATCCCGCAAGGCAGGTTAAGGTAGAATGATGATCATACAATCTAATCGCGTGTCAAGGTCCAGGTTTTTAGTAAGTTGAATAAAACTCCCTGGTTTGAGTATCTCGCCCTCAACCTGGACGTCGCTGGATAGAGGGAAGAATAATAAGGTTCGGCCATCGGGCTTCGTAATCGATGCCTTTCCACATATTCGCAATAATAGAACAGAATGGCCCTGTACCTGATCAGACTCGTTTTCCCATTTGAATAGGTTGGATCTCAGTACCGTGATATATCCTAATTTCTCTAACAATGGCCGCGCTTTCACTTCCCGGGCTTTATCCACGCATCCGAGGAGATTGATTTTACCTTTCTCCTCCTTCATTTCGGCGCTAGAAACCCATTTTGCTAGCGATTCAAGTTCTGGAAATGCATCGGCTTGTATGTTGGTCGGCATGGCTCTGGTATATTTGACGTGGGTGTGCTAGAGGAGGCGGACCGTCAGTATTGTACTTTGAATAGCCAGCGAGCAGAATGGAGGAAAATACCAACAGTGAATATAAGTCCCGTCCGGTGGTCGCTTTGGAAGAAGTGATTCAATAACTTCCCGGGCGGCGGGGAAAAGGATGGTGGGTTGGTTTGATGCCCGAGGCTTTGGGTTCGGGTATGGAAAAACTAATATCCGCTAGTGCGACCCTAAGGTATGACTAGCATATGCAGCGCTATAGAGAAAGCAGGTTTATAATCAGGTCTTATCTTCCAAAAAAAAGGCATCGTAGATTCTTGAGCTCGTTGAAGCATCCGATAACCATAGCTTCACTCTGAAATTCTTGCCATAGAAAGCCGGAGATCCCCTTCCTGGGTCGGATATAGCCAAAACCTGCATAATAGTTTTAAAGACACACTTGAGGTTTTATATTGACCAAGGTGTGGATAGTGACTCAACTTTTGATTCAGCTGACAGGATTAATTAAAGTAACAGAGGACAGTCCGTTACCACCAGGACGCTGATCTAAGTGCCCAGTAAGCATCGTTGGGTGAAAAATCACTGTTGATACTGGCAAGAGTGATCGGCGTGTCGGGCTATGGTTTCGCTTTGAGTCTCATCCTGGAGATATCACCTGTCTGGAATCTTGGTCATTAGAAGACTCGCGCGTATAAAATGGAGTTAGTGGGTGCACAAGTAGCTCGTGGCTGTGAGCACGTAATCACATGTATCACTTACTTTGGGGGCCTCAACTTTTGAGGGGATTCTAAACCATTCATCGCCAAGCGGGTGGAAAGTCTTCCTCACTGGTTGGCACATGAGACACAGTGCATCCTGTGGCACGGGCCGCAACAAGCGGCTACCTCAGAGTTATCTACGGTCACGGAGGGGTAGGAAACCGTTTTAATTGGTCTATATGAGATGGAATGTGCATTAATAGGCCAGCAGAGAAGTAAGAGGCAGAGCGGGGTATACAGCCCCCACTGACGGTCGACACCGGCCAAAATGGAAGAAATATGCGTAAGGGCTTCTCCCACCAAAGCTCGCATATTCTTCCTACAACCTCGACAAATACTACATGCTCCCTTGCCATTTCGTGCCAATATAATCGTCCGGTCAGACCCTATTGTGCCAGCGGTAAGATACTATCGAGGCCCTCCTAACTCTGCAAACAAATTACTCACTGTGATGCTTCTAGATGGCGGGTCGAATATCAGATTCAAGTTATGATGGCAAAGTCGAAGAAGCGAGTGTCGCTATGAAAATGGATGCAAAATCTATGAACCAGCTCTCTTCTTCCGGAAAGGCCGCGCAGCAAAAGAGAGGTGGAAAGGCAATAGCAAGTCTCCAGGCCGCAGCAGAGCAATTGAAGAAGGACGAAAACAACAGCCAGGGACAAAGTCTAAACCAACCAAGATAATTGCAGATATGCAGGAAGCAGTGATCTAGCATCGGAATGCTTCTTGTAGAGAAACGTCATATCTCTCTTTGTCTTTAACCTTTTGCTGAATCAAGGCGGCTGTATCTAAGGAAAAATATGGCATCGTGATGCTCCAAAACTCGGTTATACCATGACCATTTGTAAACTTAGGCTGAAGATGGTCATAAAAAATTGTGGAAAAGGCTGAAGGACTCGTAAGAGCAAGAGAATACCAGAACGTGCCATTCTCGAGTCCTTTCTTCATTGTCGGATACAGTTGGAAAGGGTCGGAACTCCTCTGTTCCTCCGCAAATATGTCCATGAATTCGGTGTGGAGGGCCTCATATTCACTTGAGTCGATCAAGTCGATGGCTTGGTTTGTTAACCAGTATGGAGGATGTATCATCTCAGCAGGTTGAGAACAAGCCCATTCAAGGTCTATTAGCCGTACAATATTCCAATCATTGTCAACAAAGATATTGCTTTGGTTGAGATCTGTGAGGTTGAAAAGAAAAGGCCCCCGAAAAAGCTCCCGGCTAAAGAGACAAGGCCAGATGCTTCTCATGACCATTAGTGCAGACGCTTGATAGAGTCCGTCTTCACGACTGTTGAGTGCGTTTGGCTGATAGCGAAGACGACTTTCGTGTAGAGAAAGAGCGTCGTGAATAAAAGATTCTATACCAAGATGTGTCGTGCCCCGGTGTATATTCACTGGAATTCTTTCGTTTTCCAATTGTTGGATTTCCATGGTAAGAGGCCGGTTGTTCAATTTTAAATAGCCGTCATCATCAATAGAGAAAGATCCAATCTTAGGTAGTGGAACTCGTGCCATAGTGAGAATAATGCGAGAAAGGCCTCGGAACAGGTTGGAGCGCAGAGTCGGGTTGAAGCGCCCTTCCTCCCATGTTGCTGAAAGCATGTTGCTGCTTGATTGACTGACATATTCGATGATAATGTAAGGTTGGCCGAGGATATTATAAGATTCGCTGGGATTCTCAGCGTAGAAGGATGGAACTCGATATCCTAGAGTCTGTAAAATCACTCGGCGCAGACGCTGGATGTTGCGAGAGAGGAAAGGCAGGCTGCTGAATTCGATGAACTAGGTAAAATATAAGCGAGGGTTCAGATTGGGGGTAGAATAAATGAGAGTGATACAGTTTTGCCGCTCGAAAGCCCATATCCATAGAGACGGGGGATGGGGACAGTCGGGCAATTTTCTTTAAGCCATGTATAAGTTCCAACTTCACAACGAACTTTCTCATCCGCATTTCCAGGGCAAAAATACTCCCCAATTCGATACGGCAGAGGGAAACGAATCATCACCTGCCTCCCGACCGCTCCTGTCGAGTCGAAGACATCAGCCCGAATGCAAACATTAAAGCTTCCATGTATCCAGTCTTCCACATCCACAAGATGACACGAATTTTGAGATGCCAGACCAAGATGTGTGGTAATAAGCGACTTGATCAGCTCTCGGTTTCGGTACAGATAGGTAAAGAATCGGATCTTCTGATCTCTGTAGCCTAACTCGTGGAGAATATTAGCGTCACTGTCCTTTGCAACATCATATGTTATATCTCCTCGTAGAAGTGAACGGGGCTTCAACATAGCGACGATCTCAGGGTCCTGAGCCCAATAAATTGTAGGGTACAGCTCTCTTCATTGCCTCTAAAAGGGGCCCCGAATAAGCCCTCATTAACGGGAACGTTTCGCTCAAAGAAAGGAGTTAACGGTATCGGGGAAACGCTTTTCCACTTGCCGCGATTCCTACACTTCGGCCTGAGGCAGACACCAAGACCGCCAGCTTAAACCAGTAGACATCGAAATGCAGCCAGTCTTGCTGAGTAAATCGTGAGAGGTATGAAAAATACTGGAAGAAACAAATGAAAGTCTGAGATGGTAATTATTTGGAAACTCGAGCGATCACATATAAGGATTCTTCCGTATCGTCTTTCCCAGAGTTCGATGCAAGAGCAGTTCACGTGCCTTGTGCCACTCAGCGAAACTATTCGGCCAAATTTAATCACGTGATCGTATACGATCCGGTAGTACTAAAGGAGGGGCATATGACGCCTTGTGTAATACGTGGTTAGCGCCCCCACCCCCAACCTGCCAGTGGTAAGGGAAGTGGTTCCTGGTCACGACGGACCGTGCCGTTTTTTTGGTAGCCGCTTGGCATGAAAGTTTTGAAGAGCCTCTAATGATCTGTTTGTGAAGTAGATTTACGAAAATGGCTCGACTGATATTTCAGACTGACTAGTTTCGCTGAACCTGATCGTTCAAATCTTTAGCCCCCACACGGGACCGACAGAAGGCCCCTGCGGCCAATCTATTACCCTGTCTTAGCGCCGTGGAGGTGCGACCTGTCTGCGAAACTTGGCTGCACTCCCTCCCCTGCCAAACTCGTTGCAGATCTCGACACTTCTCGACGCTGGTTCGTCCGCTTTCCTGCCAAGAATTTCTCTCATCAACACATTGAGGCTATGTGCAGATGCCAAGAGACCGAGCGTTTCAGGGGGAAGCTTTGGCCCAATGATATTTAGAGCCAGCTCAGCTTGAGGGGTCAGTGCAGTGGTCGCTCTACAGGGTATGATTCTCACCCAGTCTCACCCCATTCTCACCCTGTCTATTGCGCACTCACCCTAATCACCCGAGTCGCGCGACGCTAAAGCGGCGCTCACCCCATTCTCACCCGGGCGGCACCCACCGCACTACCTGCTGTGTTTTAGCCACACGCCAGTCAGTAAGTAGTATGGTGGGTGAGAGCATTTCACGTTTATTTGCCAATCTTTATTTCTCTTTTCATTCGTTCGGAAATCCCACCATTATTTTGCATTTAAACCAAACATCATGCACGTGCCTGAACGCTAACATAGTCCGGCATTCTCCGTGCTGATTTCTACCCCGAGATGAGTTGTAAGGGTCACGGTGTCACATTGTGATGCGTGTTTCGATTCGATATCTCAGTTATTTGAGTATCACATAAATGTGGATCAAGAGCATTGTCGCTCAAGAAAATTAGGCGGACAGGTCAATTCCCTGGCAATAGTTGGCCCTGACTACCGCCAAGTTATCAACGTCGCGCTCTCTATGACGGTTGGCAATCTTACCAATCCAAAGGAGATGATGGACCAATCGGTCCCATCAATAGCCCACTCATGCCGCTTAGCCTCGATAGCGATGATTGGTCAAGCTTGGCTATCGGCTCCTGGGGTGCCACTATACCTGCTAACATTAGCCAGTGGCGATACAATAATGTCCATAGCGTACCCATGTCTCCATTTTAGTGAGCCCGGAATGGAGAGGATGTCATATGCTAACAGTTCAGATTCAGATATAGCTATGATGGATATTCAAACTCAATGTACAGGGTGTAGACCGGATCAAAACCTGCCGAAGGCACAGGCTGAATCACCACTAGAGAAGCGTGGAAGCTCATCGACAATCTCAAGAATATTGTCCACCGTCAAACTACGCCCCTCGGAGCCACTAAGGCCGAGCTACTAGGAGTGAAACACGACCAAGAACAGAATGAAAAGTTCCAAGAAGAAGTGCGAGCTCTGCAAATGCAAACCGAAGCAGGCCACTCACTGGCCCTGCGGGCCCGAACATGGGCCGCAATAGCGACCAATAGCGCCAGCTCACCAGGAGCTCATAGCCAAGTTTGGACCAATCATTTCTACGGAGGCTTTGCGAATGATTTGGATTAATCATAGCCTCGTAAATTTCACTCTATCAGTGGTAACCAACGATCACATCAATAATCACGACCCAAAGACTCCTGGGAGCCAAGGCCAATTATTGGCCAAGTATTAACCGATAATCAAGACGGCTTGTGAGCATGTGGGCCATTGGTGGCACGAACTGGCTCATATTCCGAGTAGTTCCCATCCGCATCCGCTTCATTCCCAGGAGATTCATGTGGGGAATGCCTTTGCAAAGACGCGGCTGGCCGTGGATGTTTGTTCTTCGAGAACGTAATTGAACTAATGACTGGCTTGCTGAACAACAGACTGTTGTGAGATGGGGCTGTGCGAATCGGTCTCGTGCCGCACCATAGCTTGTATCCACTTGATATTGGGTAGGTGTGATGACATATCTCCGATATACGAAGTAGAAAACGAATAATCTGCGGTCTGCCTGCTGTTGGTGATTTGCTGTTGCGGGGACTAACGGGCTCGTCACCGGTGAGTGAAATGAATGACATGATCTCGTCATTTCGCCCGTCGCAATCAAGGGCGGACTGACGGTGGTGAATGTTGATGACTGTCATCAATTCTTTTATGTGGCGTTCTCACGACTGTTTGTACGATGCAAATAACCAGAAAACGTTTCTCATATTTCGCATCACCAGGCGCAAAGTGCAATGCGTCTGAGAGCTGCTTTGAACCAGTGATGACAGTTGAGCCAGTTATGATTGAAGAGTAATTTGAGCTTGAGCACTCACAATTCACAATCATTATCTCATTGACGTAGACTAAACACCTAGCTGGAATGCAATAAATATGTACCCGGTCCCTCTCCAGCAGGACAGTCGCTCGTAGGCATTCATTTGTGATTCTGGGTGACAAAGTATCGAATGTAATTTCTCTCCGCGGCTACTCTTTGGTATGGATTGACCTCCAAATCATGCAATGAACTGGACTGACCTATTAGGTCGCAATAGTCTAACATTTCACGATAGTAAAGTCTTCAGACAGCAAGTGAGTGTCGCTTCCGATTCATTTAGAATCATGCTGACTCGGAAGATGCTCGATATCAGCCCTGGTTCCGCTATTCCTCAACGAAATCATTGAACGAATCTTTCAGGGCCTGGAGTGGTTCAAACTGCGAGCAATGTGAGTTACAAATTGCCTTCATAAGCTACCCGCCCATGATTGAAGATAATCAGGTGCCATCCTTTAGAAAGTACCCTGCAGTGGACAGCACTTCAATCGCCATAGTAAAAAAGGGGTATTCGGTTACTATTACCTATATAGCCTTAGTGGCATATACAATATTATATTATTATATTGTGGCTTTGATTATCTGAGAACGTAAGTTTCAAATTTTGCAGGGATTTACAAGGCAGATCTCATATGCTGACGACCATCTATATAGGATGGCAAATTTTCTATCGCGAGTCACTCAATGTCTTGTAAGTCACGCTTGTGCTTTGCCCCTATCCCATTCCCAACACCCGGTACTACATTTCAATCTACGTACGAATGCTTTCCGTTGGTGGCTCTCTGTTCTTCGGAAAATATCGCTGATAGTTCTTATCCTTCATAGGGCGCGTGTCAATATTACCCTCGACCTTACAGAGATATGTCCCCCCTCTTCGTCTTCGAAACTAAACCAGCTTCATCAACCTGATGGGCCAAGCCACTGAATATTCCTATGCACCTTTGTTGTTCCTGAAGATGTGGTTAAAATGGCCAATTCACCTGGCGCATTGAGCGAGCCTAATTCAGAAAGGCTTGATGCCCTGTGCTTAGCCATACGGTAAGTCTCGAAAGAGTTTTCGTCTCTTCAGCATTACCTTTCCCGATCGAAGGCCATTAATCAGGTTATTAAGAACTTGCCATATTCCGACAGCTATGATCTCTTGCCGACCTCCGATCCGGAGCCTCGTCGGCAGCCATGGCCGGTCCCATACTAGGCCGAGTGAGTCATTGCAGCATTCGACGACATCGAAGAGGAGTCTAGCATCGACGGTCACCAAGAAAGGCCATGGTCTCTCCAGGTATAATATAATCCAGCAATGAACCGAGCTCTAGGCCACGGGCTGAGGGTCGGCTCTGCCAAGCCCTGATTGCAGCTCAACTAGCGACAAGCCAGGTCGCAGCACAGGATCTACTCCATATCTCTACCCATGAGAGCAGTCGCTTTCAGGTCAGCTACTACTTCATTCCAGACCGAAAACCATGATCCTCTCCTTCAGTGTAACCTTGTCCTGACATGTATGAAGATTTTCCTCTCTCACGCGAAAAGCAAAGACGAAACAGCTATGCATTGGCAGATATTGCCAACATTTATTTGCAGCGGTACGGAGTGATCCCGGGCCCTCGCCCACGTGTAATCGAGCTGAGCCCGCTACATCTCTGGTTGGCCTTCACTGATACCAATCCACATTGACGGCAAGTCTGTACCATCCTTAGTCACCAGAAGTCTTGCTGATATGGAGAAGTAGGGAAACGGAACACTGCTTCGGCATAAGTCCGATCGGGATAGTGTATTGTGGCTGGTATTGGGATTCTCATCTAGGCCGCGAGCATGGTCAGTGGCGAACACCCATCTTGCGCCAGTCGCTGATAATTGGTGCTAGATCGAGTATATCCAACGGCATACTGTTTTGCCTGTGGCCAATGCATATGGCGATTTAAAGCTTCCCCCGTGGCCTATATCATGAAAAAGGTGAAAGAGTACGTTCTCAAGGCTGGAAGTCTGGGATAACCAACTGACCTTTTGCCAAACCGCTGATATGAAGATTACTTTTCCCTCCCAAACGTGGCCGGACGTCATCACAGAACGGCACGAATTCAAGAGCGGAAGCAGCCTCGCGAATTATGGCCGTTCGGTTGCCGCAGTGGTTGCAACTGCTCAATTATTACTTGAAGGATGCCATG